TGTATGTATTCTATGAGTTTAGCCTGTTGGAATCCTAAATGTTTGTAAATCTCACTGTTGTCGAGTCAATGATGCCACCAGATGCAGTGTTTTATATTTTTTTAGGCTTTTTACATCAACAAAGTAAGCATGTGTAACTTCTAATAGGTGATTTAGCTGTTTATGTGGATGCATAGAGTTTTATGTCCACATACAAGACAACATATTGAGTGCAGTTAGATATAAATACACACAATGTTGACTTTAGAACATTTATTTATGTACAAGTTAAGGCTAAACTAACTTCTAAATCTTATGGCATATAATGGTTTAAAATTCTTGTAATATCAAGTCTTTGTAGGAAATCAGACTTAATCTTAAAACTGAAAATTAGAGAGATCATATTTAATTACTGTAGTGTTATCTGAAGTTTCTAATACAGTAGAATCCACTTTTTGTAATCAGCTTTGGTTATACTTATTATCATCAAGTAAATAGTACAAAATGACAGCTTAGAAATACCTATCATCCTCAACATGAAAAACTGTTCTCAGTCTTAGCTAGTACTTTAGACATTAATGATTAAAACAATTATATACTACAAGCAAATACAGTAGAGCATCGATTATCCGAATCAATTGGGGACTGGGATTGTTCAGAAAATCGATATTTTGGATAACCGATTATGTATGAAAAAATATATTAACCTATCCCATGTTGAAATTTTTCTCCATTGCGTGTTGCTTCGTGTTGAATTTTCATCGATGTTAAGCCTAACGAAGACTATTGTATCATTAAAAATTATTTTTTTACTTTGTACAAACAAAATAAATATATTGAAAAATATAAAAACAATAAAAAATTATACTTCAGAAGTTAATTTAGTATAAAAAACGTAAAATATTTGAGTAGCCCAAGACATAGCCAAAGATTGCAGTGCCACAGCACTGGTGAAAATTTAAATTTGCCGACTGGAATTCTTTTGGATAATTGACACTCTACTGTAAATTGGTGGTATTTATTAATCCATGTAGCATATGAAGTAGTATTAATTAAAAATAATAAACCTTTTATGCATTTTGTTAATTGTTTCAATATATAAGTTATTTTTAACATCAGAGTCAATAAAACTAGAATTTCTACTAACTGTAATCTTATTTACTTATTCTGTTTAATGCAATCAGTATAGGCAAGCCCAAAAGCAATTACAACAAACAGATTCTACTGTACATCATTTATATTTCCAATTTTAAAATAGCCTTAATTGCATCATGTTTTCAAATTGTAAAAAAACAATATAAATACTACTTCAACCTTTTTACTCTTAATAATTATCAATAGAAAATAGTAAATTAAAAGTAATCAGAGATTCCAACATACCTTAAAGTAATATTACCTTTGTTTTCTCAATACAAATATTTGCCTTTTTTTTTTTCTTAATGCTGAAATTTACTTTGCTGTAGTTTTATATTCTTGATATAGTCATTCCAAATTTCGCATTCTCTGCTCAAAAACTAATACAGAAAAAACAAACTCATATTAAAATATAATAAACGTTTTTAAAAGATTAAAAAGACTTTCTACTTGTTGATATTCTTGTCATCAGTTAATTTAATAATAACAAATATTCTTGAAAAACTACATTTTTCTTACAAAATTAATTTGATATTCAACAATAATATACTTTATTTTCAAACCATTCTTATCGTTATCACATAGACTAGTGTACATTGTCAACAATTTTAGTAACTTGCATTGTTAAATCCGAACTCGGACCGAGAGTTCTCACAAAAAAATCCATTTTTGTACATTTTAATTTATTAGATATTTATATCCAACAGTATAAACATTTGCTAAATGCCAAGATTAACATTTAATAAAATATTAAAACCATAAAATATNACTAATTTAAGATTTAAATGATTTACAATTTGATTACATATGCATTAACATTGTTTTAAAAAAATTATAACAAGGCAGAGTTAGAACAATTTCAGATTAAATGTTATCTCAAAATATATTTTAGAATAAACAAATTAGTGGCTAAATGCAAGAATTTCTCATCATTAATTGTAAATCTATTAAAAAAATTTTCATACAATTAAAAATCTCGAAGACACTGGTCTATTATCACTGATTATTGTGAAAATATATATAAATAAAATGTTTCTATATTTATATTTTTTAATAGTAATTCCATAGTGCAAAAATCACTTGTTTAAAATTAAAAATTATTATGGAAATTTAACAAGTTGCTAGCTGATAAACGTATTAATACGTACGTACGTATTATATATAATAATAAGAGTTTGTGTACAAAATATACAAGTGTACAAGAAAATTTAAGTCTCTGATAATATATTACGGAACCAGGAATATTTTCATGCTTCTCAAACTATAAGGCCACTTTTACAATATGCATAAGGTTAAAGGAATCAATATTTTTTGCCATCACATCTGTAGCAAATGCAAAAGTGTTATGTATTGTTAAGAAATTTTATTATATATCATTCAAAGAGTAGGTAAGCAAAATTTTATATTTAAATTATAAATTTTTAGAGTACATTTAAACATTTAATTTATTTCATATAAGTAAAAGTAAAGAATAACAATAGTAATTTTTTTGAGAATGAGATTCTTCAAAGCTATTCTAAATGAAATTGTTCTTAAATTTGCAATCAATTAATTATATTTTAATAATATAATTAACAGTTGTGTAAGGAGTATTGAAATTTTGCAGAATAATAATTTCAAGAGCATTTCTAACTCTACCATGTTTAAAATCTTTTTTTAGTTTTATAAATTGTCATTTGTATCAACACTTATATTTCTTAAAATCATAATTATTAAAATTTTAAATCAGATTTATATATAATACATCTATCGTATATAGTAACAATGAGGTAAATATGAACATACTATGTATAAAATATTTTAACACTTATAAATCATTATATTATAAAAAAGAAATCTACTAATGATATGTTAGAAGAGAATAATTTTTATTTTAATTAAATCTTCTAACTTCACAGAGATGGATCAGAAAGAAAAACTGAATTGTTAAGAAATGAATTTAATTGCTAATTACCAATTTATAATAATAAATGTGTTAATACTCAACTATATTTGGAAAATAATTTTCCATAATTAAATTATTAATATCACAAACAAAAAAAATTTTTAATTCAAGGAGTCTAATTCTGTATAGAAACATTTCTGAAATTTTTAATTTTCACCTTTGGACTTTACAATACATTTTCATTCCTAAAAAGCTTCTAACAGAAAATTTGGCTCCTTTGATTATTTTTTTTATGGATATTAATAACTAATTTTATATTTTATTACATACATATACAGTTGACCCCCATAACACTGTTCATAATTCCATTTTATATGAATTCCATGTAAAATCTAAATGACTCGTACAACATGGAATTCATATAAAACGGAATTATCAACAGTGTTATGGGGGGCCGACTGTATAATGCATTTGGATTAAAAGTTCAATTTTCTCAACTGTTATCATTTTAATTATAAAAGTTTCAACAGATATTTTGTACAATTGAAACTCTTGCATGATTAATATACATTTATCAGTATCTAAACACTGAAATACAACAAAATATTGCTATAAAACTGTACTGTATGACTTATTAATAATTCATACTCTCGCATTGTACAATCTTAGAGCATTACCGAAAAATCAGAATACAGCAATTCATTTTATATACATTTATACAGCTTTAATAGCATCAATTAAAGAATAAAACTTTATATATAAAGTTTAAACAATATTATAAAGCAAATGTCTTTCTGATACTTTGAATATGCAATTGAGCTTTTTAAGTGCAATTACCAACTTATAAACAAACAAAATAATTTTACAACAAAATATTGTTTGTCATCATAACACAAAAAAATTTTCTTGTATTATATTTGCTTACTAGTTCGTTTACACATCTTCTTTATAACATTGCAAATAAATGTCTTTTGTGTAATAGTATAATAGAAATATTCAATAATTAGGAATGAAAACAATTAAAAATTACAATGGAATAATGAAAAATTAAATGTAAAAACTTGCTGTGCTATATACAACAAATTTAAATCATAAAAAAAATTCCTACTGAATTTTTAACAAATGTTCAATGTTAAAAATCCAGATAGTACTATACCAGTAGGGAATATTGTAGTACTTTGGCATCAATACTGATAGGAGGAAGTAGTTATGTTGATCATTATTTAATACTGCTTCAAATAAATTGTCATGGATAAAACAAAACTTATCAACAAAATTCTGGTATATTTCTAGTAATAAATATATAAATTTTAAGAATACTAACAGAATGAGTAAAATTATAATTTACAATTTAAATACCTTCTAAATCTAAGCATGAAATTCTAAAAATAATATTTCTTTCATTATTACAAAGGATACAAACATTACTATTTTTATCTTCTAATATTTCCTAAATCATAAAGTCAAATTACTATAGATTAAAAAATGGTAACATCTGAGTAAATTTTGTTTTAATTTAAATTAGTCTTGTAGACATGTTTAGAAAGCTTAGAACAAGTGTATTTGAATAAATTATCTGTAAAAACAATTCAGATAATCTCAAAAATTTCAGATCATTTTACTATTTATTCTTTGTAATGTTGATGCCAATATCTAATTGTAGAATATTGATATAAAGTTATGATTTCTGTTATCTTCTCAGATTTAAAATTTTTTATTCTATTTCATAGTGTATCATAACCTTGTGGAATCAATTTCCATTTTTCTCATCAAGTAATATATTAAATACAATTAGCTTAATTTATTTCATCATAATTATGGCACTTAAAAGTTAAATAAATTAATTTTAGTTAATGAAAAATAAATGTTTTTGATTTGAAACTGCATTGAAATAAAAAAAGTTTCTCTTTTGACAGAAAAAAAACCAAGGCAATTTTTTTCCTTTCTGATCCATATATATGCAAAGAATAATTATATATTAATTTATCAAAATAGTTTTCAATTCATTTCAGGATTTTGAACATTAAATCCTGTGAATTAAAAAATTTTAGCCCTGAAAATTGAAATAAGGAAAATTGATATAGACTATATATTTCCTTAAATACAATAAGAGTCCAATGATATAAATATGGCTACTTAAACTGGCTGTAACAAACTTAATTGTCATTTGTCACTAATGTGAAATTGAATATTCTATATTTCATTTCGTCACAATTACTGGAAGCATTTATAATTTTTCTAAACAATTCTTACATTTCCATTAATTTACTACTAAGAATCTTTTAAATTTCACGTAAAGCAGTACACATATGAAGATGTCTGCTGGTCAGTTAAAATCAATTAAAAATTTTTATAATGTAAAAAATAAATCACTGGCCAATTTCTAAATTAATAAAAAGTTATTTAGAAATGCAATAAAGACGTATAAAAAAAATAAGTTTCACTAAATACTTCATAGAATCTCAAGATTTTATGATCGTGTATTATGTGATTCATTAGACATTACGCTAAAATCTTACGAATTATAAGAAGATATAATTTTTTATTAAAAAAAATTATATTTGTTAGTAGATTAAGATAATACATCCATTTTTTCCAAAGAAAATAGATCTTGGGTTGCATTCCACGATAACATGGGATCACTAGTTATACTATGAAATTCTTCATCCATTGCTAGTTCTTCATTCTGGCATACATATGAATTTGGACTTTCAGATGAATTTCTATTTAAGTTTTCATCAAAAGCTTTCTTCACTGTTTGATTCAATAATGGTGCCTGCTGTTTTGAAATGTTTGATCTATTTTGAGTTTGGACATTACATTCATTCACTCCATGCATTTTCATCTGATATTCCAGTTCCTGGAAACAAAAATATCATTTTAGTGTTTTGAAAGTGTAAATTCAATCTGTATCAGATTGTTTTTTTGCAAATTACTGATGTGTATATTAACTTGTAAAGTTTGTTCATTAGAAATTAACATATTTTTTATAAACAAATTCTATTGCAAATTTAGATCTTCTGATATCTATCATTCAAGTATTCAAACCATAATATCTCAGAACTAACTTGAATTTTGAGCAATAGTTTTTTGTTTTGTTGTTCCAAAATACGATGTTTTTCTTCCATTATTGGTATTTTTTCCACTTCTTGCTTTAAGCGACGAAGATAATCTACCGAAGCCTTTAGTATGGTTCCTTTATTCTGACGAACATCTCTAGTTAACTCAGAATAACTAAAAGTAAAATAAAAATTTTCATATATTAATACATAACACCAAATTAAAAACTGACAATGTAAAAACTTTGAAATTAAGCAATATACTTCTATATAAAATCAGATACTTCAAAATAATTATAAAAATGAAATTGGAATGTTAATGAACATTAACTCATGAAATCTTTGTGTTAATAATACATAAAGTAATTTATCTTATCTGCTGACACACAACTCCTGCTTAAAAGAAGACCATACCATAGTTAGACAATTTAGAAAATTCTAGAAGAAAAGATCAATCCAGAATAGGACTTAACATAAGCTTAAACTATTAAATTATTTTTTACATTTGGCTATAAATTTGGATTTTAATTATATTATTTCTGAATATTTTATGGGAGATCATTCACATATAATGTCATAATTGTTCAACAAGATTTCCTGTGTTATTGTTGGATATACTAACATATACTGTAAATTAAATGTCATTATCAAACCACAATAAAATTGAATAAAATTTTAACATCTTCAAGAACATCCTCCAAACAATATCAGATGCTTTGGTTAGTATTTAATATAAACTTAACTAATAATCTACATATTGTGATACTTACGGATCATTATTTCTTGGTAAAAGTGTCCCTAATTCTTTAATTCTATCATTAATATTGTATCGTCTCCTTCTCTCAACTGTTAAAAACAGATATATGTTATTTCACATTCTTATGTCTATTTATTTAAATAAAACTTATGTTACTTAATGTTTAAATTAAAACTAGATATATGAATAACATTATATATATAGTTATAATTTCTTTATATATATANTATATTCTTAATTATGTAAATTCTTAAATATGTATATTTTCTTAAATTAGGGGCAAAAAAAATTTTCAAATATTCATATGTAAAAATGAAAGTGTTTAATATTTTTTAATTGGTGTGTTAATTCATAAGCAAATTTGGGCAAAGCATGTTTTAAAGATTACTTCACTTTTATATTGATTGAAATCTTGAAATCAAATGAATAGTAAAAAAAAAAAATAGATTTTTTTTACTAAGGTGAAGAATAGTCTAACTCAAGATAACTATTTAGTATAAATTATTACTATGGTAGCCTGAAGAATGGTTTATTTTCAGGACAGAGTATTAACAGAGCAATTGCTAATTTTTATGTAAAATTAGCAATTGCAAATTATATAAAAAAAGCTGTTAAAACATTTTTGGTTATAATTGAAAAAAAAAAATCATTATGAGCTAAGTGAGTATAACTCTGTTGAAACATCTAAATGTTTTAACAGAACAGTGGGTGCTGCATACTGTTCTGTTCAAGCTTGATATAATATAAATCTAGGATTTATGCTGGTAAATCCATATTTGTGTTGCTTAGGCCTTAATCATCCTAGAAAATAATCAGCAAGATAGCAAGCCACTCCTTGTATGCTCTCTTGTTTTCAGTTGGTGTATCAGAGCTGTTTGGAGGGAGCTGGAAATTTTTTCCCAAACCTAGAACAAAACTTAGGAGGCCATAAAGTAATGTTACTTTTACTAAAAAACAATAAAATTGTTTAATATCATTTTTTTATTAATGAAGAAACAATCTTATGTATTTCAATTTTATGTAGTCAATTTAAAACCAGAGTACATGACATCATATATGTTGTCATCAAGTGGTCTTTTTTAACATTTCTAAATGTCCAGTAGCAAATTTATACTTTGTCAAGCTGCAAAAACTTATGGAACTGAAATCATTTTCAGCAAAGACATAGGGCACTGTGTATCTGGGGAGTAACAAATCCACTCTGGATTCATATGAAGGAAGGAATATTTTTAATATGGACAAAATGAGATTGTTTTATAGCCTCTTCCTAATAGGATATTTGCTATGAAAGGAAAAAAGTGTTCGGAGAAAAGCCAAGCAAGAAATGTTTGTTTGTTTGTTTAGTTATGGCGATGCAACACTTGGGTGATCTGCCTAGGGGGTGCCTTCTGAGAGGTCTTTTTAAGGGAAACTGGCCCCTATTGGCATTACAGACGTGGAGAAAATCCGGAAAACTCCACGTGGCCAGCCCATTCGAGCAAGGCGCAAACCCATGACTGAACTCCCAATGTTTAGGGTACAAAGACCACTTGGCCACTAGTGAGCCCAAGCAAGGAATGAATAATTGGTTTGTTGTGCTGCAACATGGATGGGAACTGAAAAGCTTTGAGCTCTGGTTATTGGCAAATCAATTCAGTTCATTGATTCAAAATTTAATTTCATACAATAGGGGAAAACATATTTAGTTAACCATGGTTACTTAACATACACAATTATGTATTAACATAAAAATTCAAAAGATTTAGAAAAAAAAAAAAAACTTTAAACAAATGAATTAGAAAATACCTTGCATTAAGAAAAGTCTTTAAACAAAATAATAAATGAGCTTGAGACTTCTAAGGTATATAATTTTTCCCATAAAATATTAAAATTAATCCTATCAAAAGCATTTTCTAGATCCACAAAAATCAAATAAATTTTCTCTCTTTCTTGACAGAACATACTGTATTAAGCCATTAAATACAAAAAAATTGTACATAATTCCTCTACCTTTGATAAAAGCTTCTTGATTTTGAGTGATTATATTAAATTCAGTCATTCATGAATCAAACAATTCATCAGGATATCAGTAAACAGCTTCCTAAAAGTATTTAACAATGCAATTGAGCAATAATTATGGGAATTAAGTTTATCTCCTTTCTTATAAATCATTTGTAACAGAATGTTCTTTTACTGATCAGGAAAATTTGTTGTTTCTTTAATTTTATTGAAGAGGTTCAGTAATTACAACTAAAAATATAACATACTTATTTTTTATACTGTCCATGCCAGGTGCTGATCCTATTTTGAGTTTGCAAATTGAAATTTTCAATTCATATAATGAAAATGGCTCATCCAAGATTGGAGAGAAATCACTGCAACCAAAATCCAAAATGGGATCAGAACTCGGATGGCAGAAGCTATATTTTTTTTAAGTTTCCTCCTCCTCCTCCTCCTATTATACCTATTAATTAATAACAGACCAAAAATATTTTGAGGATTGCACAGATAGTAATTGAGGATTAATTATTAACCAATTCTTCTTTTTGGTCTTATTACATAATGAACGAAAAATAGTATTGGAATCACAATATCTTATTTTTGTTTCAAGACCTCCAAAATTTTCTCAGCATCTTATTCTTTAATTTCTTGGGCTATTTTACAATCTTTATCAAACCATGTTAATGAAGACAGTTCTATTAATCCAAAATATGTTATCATTCTACAGTGCTTGGCTGAAGACCTGACCACTCTCAAAATCATGGAGTATATATCCTCAATATTGTCACTTGACACATTTAAATATCTGTCTGGTACTGTTTCAGAATACAAAGTGGATCTGTTGTCACTCAGAATCAATTGTTCTGTCTTATGTATTATTTTGTATTTTCTGCTGAACCCATATCTATTAATATTTCAGCAATAAAATTATGATCAAACATAGTCATCAGGAATAAAGAAATTATGTAGGTCTTCTATCAAATCCTCACTCAGTATCACTAAATCACTGAGGCACCCAGTTCAGACATCTAAGTAAAATCTGCCAATAAATCACAAGGGTACTGACCATGTAATATATATAAATTATAAGCTTTCACCTTTCACCCTGTTCTTCACTGTAGGCTCCGAAATTTTCAGGAAAATAGTCAATATGGGGGTGTAAGAAATGAACTTTTAAGCTCATCTTGCATCCTTGAGCTTCATACACTGCCAGCATGTGGTATACAATGATTTTGTAGTCAGGGTCTGTAGTATTCCCCAAAAACTTATGCACTACATTCTTGAAAGGGTTCCATGCTTCTTTTTCCTTTTCTCACATTGTTTCCAAAAAGAGGGGATCAGATAAAGGGGATGTTGATTTTTCACTGTGTATTCACCACAAACATAACAGAAGTTGTTGGGAGAAATTACACACCCTCTGCGAGCTATATTCCAGAAATAAAAATACAAGCACAGTAGCGTTCGAATGCTAGATATAAACTGAGTGTGGCATTAGATGGCGAGTGAGATACTAAAATTATTTAGCTTGTTGAAACATGATCTAATCCAACAGCAGATTGTTTATATTTATTCCTAGTATCCCAGATAACATGTCGAACATGCTCAACCACACCAGTAATATTATTCACTATCAACTTTTAACCTGTTTCTACACGATCATGCGACCTTCCTCCTAACGCTAAAACTACTTAACCCACCTCCCCCTACCACTACTCTCTTCAACCATTAACATTTTTTATTTATTTATTGCCAAGTCCAGCTATAATTGATAGATTTAATGTGAGAAGTCTTCATTTTAAGGCCATTTTTTATATTAAAAAAAAAAATACTAAATTTTAAGTTAGCTAGCAATTTTACACTAAATACAAAAAAAAACTTGAGTGTAACAAAAAAATTGATGAGATAGAATTTTTTTGGTATTTTTTACGTTTTTACCAAGTTGAAATCTATAAGATAATGTATGAAAATCCGATGCAGTTTTTTACTTGCAGACCTGTGTAATTAATTAACAATCACACTTGAAGATACTGTATTCATTTTAGATAAATGAGTGTGGTTTCTTTTTACAAAGCATCATCATCATCATCTCAGCTTTTTGTCAATCTTGATCAGAAGTATCAAGAACATTTTCATATTTTTTATTTTTATCATAAAAATATGTTATTAATTGAAAATTTGTTCTAGCAGATGGCATTTGTTCAGTCAAGTACCTAATGACTTTTTCCAGAATTTGTGTTCGAATACCAAGATACTGCTGTATTTCGTCCATAATTTAACAAATAATTGCTTTTTTTAACCTACAGTTAAAAAAAAGTTTAACAACACTTACCTAAAAATGTTTAAATAAACTTTACTAAATATGAAGATTAAGCTATAAAAACAAAACACAGTGACAGTCTTAAGGGCTATAGTTTGAAAGCAACTATAACACCTGGTTGATAGGAAACTTAGGACACACAAGAAAAAATTGCATCATCAATTTCATTAAAGTAAACCTGACAAAAAGCACAAAATAATTTGAAAATTTCAATATTCTATAATCCATGGGCAAATTTAAGATGACACACATGATTACTTGAACTAAAGAAAATATTGAATAACAAAGTTTATACTTAAAAATTGTGAAACTTTATACAGAGGATTTCCAAAACAAAACTAGAAGTCTTGTTGCATGGGGAGGTACAGTCGACCCCCCTATAACGTACGTTCCTATAACGGAAATTCCTATAACGGAAATTCCTATAACGTAGCGAAAAAATTGTAGCAACTTTCGTATAACGTACCTCCTATAACGTCGTTTCGCGAGAAGATTGATAGAGTCTGGACCAATAGTGGATGAGTATCCGAACTACTTTCCTCCGACCCTGCGCCACGCTACGCAGCGGCTAAATTGAGTTTGCTATCGTCTGTTTAGTATTATATATAAATTAGGTACTGTACATATAATTATATATTAATTAATTTATTGTAACTTTATTATAATTATATATATGCTTTCTGCCGCCTGGCAACACGCTACGGAGATTTTAAGCTAGTAAGTTGAGTTTATTATCGTCTGTACAGTATGTAAATTAGGTACCGTAAGTCTAATACAGCACTAATTTTATACATCTCTTGTGAAAGAAACACTTCTTATTCAACGTCCATAAAAATTATTTATATTAATGATGTCTCCAAAGGTCAAGTTATTTTTATGTAAAAATTATTTATTAGAAATCGCGGCCGCCGATTCATGTGCTGTTCCGCAACGAAAACCAGCTTTAAGCAACGGCGTAGTCGAACGGTACACACTCGGTAAGTAATCCTACAATTTTTTGTTTATAGCATAGTTTATACGGATTACTCCCAAAAAATTATACGTGTTTTGGAAATGCTGAGTGGAATTAGTCTAGAATCGGTTAATTTTATAGAAGAAAACTTTTCGAACAGCCTTAGTCCGTAAAGTTCCCACCTATCGGGCTGCGATTGGCTCATGTATTTAATCATTCCTACAACATAATTTTCGGTTAGCGTGGAACGTATCTAAGCGTTATAGGGGGGTCTAACCCCGCCACGCGTTGTTGTGGCTCAAAATGTATCTATTATAAATTTATAACACTTCCCCGTGGGGGGGGGGAATTTTTTGAAAAATTTCTTGCTAGTGTACAATTCTCTTGATGTACCCTATTAAAACGCAATCAAAAACGCAAAAACCCGCATCTAAAATAGTATAAATAGAAGCAGAGTTCTTTACCGTAAGCCTTAATCTTAACCATCTCCCTTCAGTGGGGTTGAATTTCGACATGTATATTATATAAAAACACGTGGGTATTCGAATGCAGCATTGTGCCAAAATTTAAAAGGAATCGGTAGGAACAAACGAACACTACATTTTTATTTATGTAAATAGATAGAAGATGATCTGCTTTAGTTCATTTTCACAGAAAAGCGTAATGCCGCACAGAAAAGCAAACTTAGGGCCTCATACTCGTAGCGCCATCTGTTGGACATAAAAGCCTTAACCATAGATACTGTAATATCATTTAATTTATATGAATGTTTAACGGAATAATATACAGCCTATGTCCACCCTGAGGTTCCATTCTAAATTTGGTGAAAGAATTTTTGAAATTGGATGAGTAGTTTCGAAGATTACCTGCTGCATACAAACTTACAAACATTACCTCTTTATAATATTAGTATAGATAACATACAGTAAATCATAGTCTCAATAAAGCTCAGATTTCAGGAAAAGTTTAATTTCAGAAGGCTTCTAATAAGGACAATTATGTACATTAAATGTCTTAATAAAATAAAATAACATACTCATATTATGATTATCTTTCTTTTGCCTGTCTTTCAAAGCATGAATATCTATTTCCGTAAATAATGCAGGTTCTTCTTTAATTCTTGTAACTTCTGCAGGACACGAGGCAGATACTTTGTTAACAACAGGTATTGAGGCAAAAAGATTTATGATATTTGTATTACCAGGTATCTAGAAAAAGAATATATCTAAATTTTTAAGTTATAAAATTTAAAGTTCTGAAAAATTCTGGAAAATATGATTAATCATGTCTCATTACAGATATTTTTCACAATAAATATAAATTAAGCATCCTTTATGATTCACTGTTATCTGCAATATAAAGAAAAAAATATATTTTTCTAATTTTCTAATTGATGAAATCATCAGAATTTTTAAACAAATATTTGTTAATGCATGTACAAAGTCTACACACAAAATATCTTAAATCACATCAATACAAAATAAATAAAATACATAAGGCATATTTTTAAAATAAAGATACAAAGTCCAGAAAATATTTCTAAATCATTTTAATTTTAGATTGACTTATAACACCTTTAGAACATATTTTTATTTATTTTTCAATATGGTAACCATGAATCTCAACAAAGTTGATGAATCTGGAAACTTGTTCTTAATGCTGATGTCATAGAAATCTTCCACCTGCTCTCATAACCATGTCATCACTGCATCTTTAACCTCATTGTTGTCATCAAACTTCTTTTCAGAGAGATGTTCCTTCAACTTCAGAAACAAGTGATAATTGCTTGCTGCGAAGCCTGAGCTGTGCAATGGATGTTCCAAAACTTCCCATTTAAATGTCTGCAACAACTCGTGATGTGAGCAGTGTGCAAACAGGCATTATCTTGCAGTAAGATACCATTTTGTCAGGTTTTGCTTGTTCATAATGTCTTCACCATAAATGGAAATACGTTACTGACAAACTAAATAGAATCAAATTATTGAATGAACCTTGCACTTGGTAGGATTACAAATTGACATGACCATTTTAAACACACACAGTGCAAGCATAATGATGATGCAATTAAAGTCAAGTGACTTCTATTATATGACTCAGACCCTAACAGATATGGCAATACAGCAAATGGTAAATAAATAATTTTCCTTGAATTTCTACTGGTCTCGTATCTTTACTTTCTGAATACGCCTCATATTAGTACATAAAGAATACATTTTTTTGAATTTCTTTAGTTAATTAAAAAATATTAAATTCAAATAATATTTTTATAAATTTCTTTAATATATGATGATAAATTTACTGGATTCTTTATCTGCAGTGATGACACCCAGTCTTGAAATTTGAAATCAATGATTTTTTTTTATTTTAATGTAAACAGCACGTGTCTTCAATGACATATCTCTCCATTGAGAATTTAAAAAGTTATCATATATTCTATAAATTAGGAAGCCAAGCTAGGTGTTTCAATGCCTTTATTTAAAACTCTATAAAAATTTGTAGCTATCTTCTTAGACCCTCAGTGCAAGAATCAACTATTTATATAACAACATCGAGGAAGAAATCTCCATACATCTACAATTTTCCTTGAGTTTAAATAAAGACATTCAAACATGCAATGTGGCTTCCTAATTTACAGAATGATAGTATCTATCTACTGAAAATTTACATAGTAATTAACATGGAAGTAGATTTTATAAATTTATAAAAACACAATTTTTTACTTAAGGAAAGTTAAGAGTGCTTTTTTAAAAATCAATTTACTTATTTCATTAAAAAAAATATTTTTATACACATTTTATATACATCAGAAGTTTGTTAATTAAATAATTTGGCACATCTGGTAATACAGCCTCCACTGAAAAGTAGCCGATAATTCAAAATTGTCCAATGATAATATCACATGCTGGTATTCCATGAATCAGTTTGTTTGGACACACAGTGAACTCAAGGTGAAAATTAAGATAAAAGTGCAGTTTGTGAAAATTTACATGAACTTAACACAATATAGTCATGCACTATATATAATTTCCAGAATGATTAAAGAGCATTTGCACAAACCAATCTACAGCAGTGTGCTCTGGTACAAAATGTACTACAATGCTTTTAATGTTCAGATTACATATAACTTATTTAATTTTGTGCATGAAATCCATTAATCTGACAACACTCTGGTCCAGTAGATGTCTGATTAACAAACTTCTACTTAATATTAATCCAAACAAAAACATCTGATATGTGGAAAAATTGCACCAAGTAAAAACTTGACAATTTAGATGACAGAAAAAAATTTGACTTAGAAGTTTTTCTTTGCTAAAGATAAGTTTGGCTTCAGAAGTGGTACCCACAAGACCAACAAGATTTTTACCTGTATTATTGTTTTCTACAAATCACTTCCAAGTGCCAAGCTTATTCCAAAGAAAAATTCCTAAGAAAAAACCTTGACTGTCATCTAAATTGTCACAAGTTTTTACTTGATGCAATACTTTTACATCTTAGATGTTTTTGTTTAGATATCAATTGTTTTTTGGTTAATAATTGGGTTATTATATCAAGACCATGACACATTGTACAGTTTGATCAGCACTCAGCAATACAACAGCCACCGACCCAATACTTTCAATATGCCATTTACAAAAATTGTTATAAAAAGTTTTAATTCACATAAATTTGAACTTTTTTTATTCTGAATAACAATTTGAATGTAAATCATTTGCTTCAGTGCAATTTTATCCTTACAAGTGTAAAATTAAGCAATAAAAGTAAAATAGCTCTACAGAGAATCCATGCAAACTTTGACCTTTGACCTACAGACTTGGAAGTTTTGCAAGTATCTCACTGATAAAAAGAAGTTTAAAATTTGATCTTTATAGACCCAGTAGTTTATTTCTCTAGAGCATATGCAGTGTCGGATGAAGAAAAGAAGAAAATACAGCTTTTATTTTGGCAATTTTTGCACTTTTCAATTGCTTATATTTCAGCAACCTTTTTACAGAAAATCTTAGTTTTATGCACTACCTAAGAAAACAATTATCTTTCAAACAAGATATTCAGAATTACTATAGGAATTTGGGGCAGAGAAATAAGCCCCCAAAAACTGGCAACTTTGACTCTCATGCATATAGCCAGTCAGTGACTTTTTACCAATAATAGTCAAAGCTGGAACTATCACAGTATATAAAGACACTGAACACACCTTACACAATAATCCAGCAATTAATTTTAATTAAAATTAATGTTTTTGGATTGATTGATAAGCCTTTGTCTGGTTTTTAAACATAGATTCTATTTTTGGAACAGTATTAAATTTAATAATTGGAACATAATTTAACAATATTAAATTATGCCTTTGTCAGTTTTTTAAACAGAGATTCAATTAAATTTAATAATTGGAACATAATTTAACAGTATTAAATTATGTTTCAATTATTAAATTTAATAGAATCTCTATTTAAAAAACTGACAAANTTTTTTAATGTAATGTTCAAGATAATAAAAACATAGCTCAGCAATTATAAGTGCTTACAATGTAGTTCGAAATAAGTTTAAAAGATTTTTCAAACAATTGTACATAAAAAAAAAATTATGTAATTTCTTAATACTAATTTTAAAGATTAAAAATAAGTAATAAGTTTATAATAAATTTATATTAGTAATAATCGTAAGAAGCCAATATGCATTAACCTATTCCCTGGTATTCTCGACATATCTTGGGTTTAAACATGATGACCTTGACCTGTGAACCTGATATATCTCGTTTCTGCATCGGGACGCTTTTGACACTAGATGTCATTAGTCAGCATAATTTTTATATTAAAACTAACTTCCAAAATATAATTTTTTTGTTTTTACGTTTATTAATATGGCTATTTTGTTTGTGAAAAATAAAAAAATATTAAGTAAAACACACCTTTAAAAATTCAGCAAATTTACTAATAAAAACATTTTCAATTGGTTTAACCGATCCTTCTCAGTTACGATGAGATAGAATGTGAAAATAGAACATAAATTTAAAAATAAATGATAAATCATAATTCTAAAATAAATAAATAACTGAAATCGTAGTTGTGAATAATAAATAAATAACTACAGAAATAAAGTAAACAATAAAAAGTAAAAATAGATGAATAAATGTCCCTTAATAAAATTAACTTTCATAAAAAGACCTCCATGTGGTAGCCAAGCTGTCGGCATCGCTATGGTTGATGCAACCAGTTATTTTGTGTGCTTTAAAAAATCTCTGATCTTTCCAGATATCTCATAGTATTTATATCCAATGTAAAACAATTATAAAACAACAACAACAAAAAAGAAAAAAACCTAAAACAATATAAAAGTGACACTGCAGTGCCACTTTTTTAAAAATATTGTTTTATATTGTTTGTTTCTTATACTATATTTTCTGTCTAGTCAGATATATGTAGCAAATTTAAAAAATTCCATGCACCATAGTGTCACTTTTGCTATACTACAAATATCAATACTCCTTCACTTGGTGCACAATGAGATGAATTTAGTTTGCCAACTGCTTGCTAGCATAATTGGTAAATTTAAATAATTAAACCAAATAATCTTGCCAAACTTATAGGGCAAACTTTTGGGCTATGTTAAATAATTAATTAATTATTAACATAGCCCAAGGTGGTTAAATTGCCATCTTGTATTAATTTTAATTATTATAATAAATTAAAATTTAGAAATTTCTGGAAGAAAAGAATTGGTCTGGAACAGGACTCAAACCCACAACTTGTTTATATAGATAAATTTAACTTTTGCCAATGGCATTGTACAAATGTCTGCAGTGTTCTCTTTTAACTTCCATTGAACTTATTGCAACAAATTCATATATAAACATTAGGCTTATATCAAACTGATTGCTTTTCCCTGTCACTGTGGTCATACATAAACCAACTGTAATGCTATTATCAATCAAAATCACTAGCTTCACTTGCTCCATTTTCAGTTTTGTAAGTACAGTACTTCATTCCAGAATTGTCAGAATACAAATGTGTCCTTCTATTCCTTAGCCCTTTGATGTGAAACAAAGCAGTTTGCTCATCAAAAAATCATAATTCAAAAAATCTATGCTAACTTAGCTTTTACCATTTTCATAGCACACACTTAGGCAGAAAATGTGAAATCAATGTATGCAGTTGCAAGCTGCAGACCACTTGTGATAGGGGAAAAAATACATTGGTCAGCTCCATCTTGT